CCGCCGCTGACCCGGACGTACCACCCCAACAATGCACGGACTGCCGCCCCTTTCTATTGGCCGCCCCAGGCACCTGCGTCCTTCGATGGTGCCTGGAGCCGGCCCTGGGTCTGACAGCCGTGTGAATTCCTGTGGGTGATCTCTCCTCAGGGCCTGTGTTGAGCACGGTGCCGAGGTGTGAGTCAGCAGATGGCGCCAGAGAGCTTTTCGGAGCCATAGCCTTAGTAAGCGTTCTCAACCTTGTCAGGGCCAAGGGCTTCACTGGAGCCGGCTGTTTTGCTGGTGTCGGTGCTGATGGTGGTGCCAACGTTGTCCTTGGCACCAGAAACAGACCTGGAGCCGCCAAGGAGGCAAAGGGCTCGCTTTTGGTCGCCCACAACAGGAGGTGGTGCCGATAGCTGCTGTTTCACACGGGCACAGTCCCTAGACTTAGGCCTTGCAAACTTCCAGAGTGCGGTCGCCACTCGCTTCCCCGCTGTCAATGCAGCTCTCATTCTGGGGTCCCTGTGCTGGTGGGCTGAGGCGAGCTCAGCACACAGATCCAGGAACGCGACCTTTTGCATCCAAAAGTTCTGCAGCCGCTGCTCTCATCCGAACCTGCATTGCTATGTGATCCCACTACTCAGTGCTGGTTTCTCAGACCCAGAAGTGCTGTTCCTCGGTCTGCAGCTTCTCTGTGAAGCCACCAGCAACCTTGAATTGTTTTTCACGGTGTTCCACAGTAAACTGTCCTCAAAGAAACTGTCATGTCCCTCATTGTCACTTCCTCCAGGTCTGCAAATACAGGACAAATGTGTGTCTGGGGCTCCATGCTTCTGTTAGAGCAGGGATGGGCAAACTATGGCGCGCGGGCCAGATCCGGCCCGCGAGCTGTTTTAAGCTGGCCCGCGAGCTCCCACTGGGGAGCAGGGTCTGTAGCTTGCTCCGCTCCGACACTACAGCCGGGGCTCAGGCTGCACCATGCGGCTCCCAGAAGCCGCGGCATGGGCCGGCTCCAGCTATTACGAGCTCCAATGGCCCCCTCTGGCACTCCAGTGGGAGCTGCAGGGGCGGTGCCTGCAGATGTGGCAGTGTGCAGAGTCTCCTGGTCGCACCTCCGCATAGGAGCCGGAGAAGGAACATGCCACTGCTTCCAGGAGCCGCTTGAGGTAAGCACCACTCGGAGTCTGCACCCCTGAGCCTCTCCCCATTCCCCAACCCTCTGCCCCAGCCCTGACCCCCCTCCCACTCTCCAAACCCATCGATCCCAGCCTGGAGTCCCCTCCTGCACCGCAAACCTCTCATCCCCACCCCAGAGCCCACAACTCCAGCCAGAACCTGCACCCGTTCCCGCATCCCTGCCCTGATCCCCGTCCTGACCTCCAAACCCCTCGGTCCCAGCCTAGAGCACCCTCCTACACACCAAACTCCTTATCCCCAGCCCCACCCCAGAGCCTGCACCCCCAACCAGAGCCCTCACCCCCTCTCGCACCCCAACCCCAATTTTGTGAGCATTCATGGCCTGCCATACAATTTCTATTCCCTGATGTGGCCCTCAGACCAAAAAGTTTGACCACTGTGTTAGAGATAACAGAGATGGAAAAGTGGTGTGTGGGTTTGTGGGATTTTTTTTAAAGGCATGAAAATTATGGGATATAGATGGCATTATGGGATGGAGAAAATTGCATGCTGGGAACTTGACCTCTAGCTCCAAAAAATCCCTGAGTCATTTCTATCCCACAAACATTGCAAAAATTTTCCAGTGCAAGCAGCCAGGTATTCATGCACTCAAGTGACATATAAACGTCAGTGTCTGTATACCAACATAACTTCATAGAATCATAGAATATCAGGGTTGGAAGGGACCTCAGGAGGTCATCTAGTCCAACCCCCTGCTCAAAGAAGGACCAATCCCCAGACAGATTTTTGCCCCAT